CATAGCAGCTAACGGTTAGCATGGGACCCTGCTAACCATTAGTTGCCGTGCGTCAATGCGAGAAAATCCCGATCCGGATACCAAATATATGATGATCGAATCACTGGCCAATAAGAAACTGGAAATTGTAAACGCGTACGTGTGATTGGATCCGGATCCTGCTAACCGTTAGCAGTTGTGTGAGAACATAGCCAAATATAGTTTATATAATTTAAATAAAGTCCGGATACCAAAAATATGCCCCTGCTAACTGCCATGCGTCCATGCGAGAAAATCCCGATCCGGATACCAAAAATATGATTGAATCACTAGCCAATTAGAAACTGGAAATTGTAAACGCGTACGTGCGATTGGTTGATGATAAAAATGCGCCTAACTTGCTAACCGTTAGCGGTATCCGGATACTGCCAACGGTTAGCACTAACCGATCGAGCGTTATCACGCAGGTGCTAACGGTTAGCGCTAGCGGTTAGCTCCTGAGCTAAAATCTCACACAGGAGAACATACAGTAAAAAAAATGTAGATTAAGGCAAAAAATACAAAATATAAATACAAATATTGTATGTAGTTAGATTTAAATATCACTTTATACTTAAGTCTCAAAGCACTTGGGGCATAGACTACCTTGTAAATTGAACAAATAGGCAATACATTTGCTAGCTTTCATTGCTATCTCAGCAACTTCTTCGGGAAGACTGATGGAATTATAACTATTCATGATCATTCATGCGTAACTATTTTGAATGTGACAACACCTCCTCCAGTACTGTCAGTAGATCGTACTCACAATCACTGTTGAGGGAGTTGGGGTGCATACTAATTTCTATTGACTCATCTTCCATGGCCAGTACACTGTCTTCTCGGTGGACGACTATAATATTCTTTTGTGGTTGGTTGCCTTTATATATGTTCTCACATTGCTGTATTAAGAACACTTTTAAGAGAATCTCGATTCAGTGATGTGGCAGTTCCACCAACATACTTTTTACCATATGACCAGTCTCTGGTAAATAGCACCATGTATTTTGAGTTGAGGATTAAGTCCTTTGAATGGCCGACATGAATCTATGTGTTACATAGTCTGTAGTAAATAGGAATTTTATGCCATGTTTATGGAAAATGTAGGCGGTCAGGTAGATCAAAGATGTGAAAGAGGGGGTTCATTCTCGAAGTAAAGTCATATTTTATTATTCTCCTGTTAATGATGGTCAGAGCAATCCCACCAAAACGTTGATACAACCAAACGGTGGTTTTACCTAAAAAACACCCTCATATTATTTATTTACTGTGATAATAAATCAGATCTTCCTTAAAACAATAATTTATACTAATAATCACAACAATAGTAGAATATATTAGTTATTAAACAAAAACCTGACAATTGATTATACAGAAATATATAAGGCTGCTGAGCGTAAAAAGTATGCTAGAGTGAACTATTTTTCTATAATGATATCCCGATGTCTTAAACTTACTGTAGAAACTATAATTGCATTTTTTTCCCTTCAACGTTAATTTCTATGAACGTACATGAAATTTTGCATAAATTACATTTAATTAAAAATCGATGTAATTTAAGTAAACCAATTTATATATGTTTAAGACCAACATATTGAATATAATGATTATGAAATTTTAGACTTTAGCTTTCATTTGATACCAAAACTGCCCTAATGGTATGCTTGCAACTCACCTAGTTGGTTTTTCATCTGCATTTCAACTGACTTCAGTTGAGCTTTTGATGTGTATAGCCGTTTTACTGCTTTGTGAGAGTTGACTACTTCTTTGGCTAAAACAGAACATACATCCTTCTGTCCTTTTTTCGCAGCATCTTTTAATGAACGTTGTACTTTGTCTTCTTCTTTCTTTATTGCTATATTGACCAAACAAAAAAAATTACACAAATTAATATGCACTGCAAGCACCTGGGTGGTCAGGGCCTCCACTGTAAAAACTCTGTAACTCTTATCGGGACAGTAGCCAATTGATGACGTTGATAATGAGGATACAATCGTAGCTGTTACAGACAAACATACTGTATGTATTATTAATTAACCATTGCCTAAAATGGCTACAGTCTATCAAGCAATAAAGCTGCTCACATTACCTGAAGTATAAAGAGATCTGATAGTACACAGAAAATCTTACAAATGGGCAATTCCATTTAAAAGGATGTGACATTTTCATAATTTTAAAATAAATATTTCCAAAATTAAGAGGCTACTAAAACTTTCGGTAACATAAATTGACTTTACAAGATAAATTTACTTTGTACAAAAAATTGCTTAAAAATCATTAAGAAAATATGCAAGATTATGTAAAGTCAGACATGACCGCATCTTTTGTCACTTACTAAAATTCTGACTTTAGCAAGAAAAAATATCAGACAAACTGATGAGCCAAAATAACAAAAGAGATCCATCCTACATAAGAAATGTAAAAAGCAATACTTTGATCCGGCCCGCAAAATTCATGCTACAAAGGTATTGACTCGCATGGCCTGGTACTGTATGTAGTGTGGTAGAGGTCCAGTGCAACTCATTCAGATTTCACGGAAGCCATTTGACATGATTCCCCACTATACCTAACTACTACTGTAGCTACCTAGCCCGAATCCCACCTAGCCTATCCTAGGAGTGATTATCCTAGCCTAGGCCTGGTATAGGTGCCCAAGCTCATATTGGTCAATATTCAGATTGTTTGCCTATATTTTGGTCCCTACACCATAGAGTGCCAAGCCAATATCTCTTGTGATGGGCGTTTTGTAAGCGACAAAACAAGTTTTGTGTATGAGTGAACGACAAAACCATGTTTGTCTTTTACAAAACGTGTTTTGTAAGAGACAAAACCATGTCTGTCCCCTACAAACATGACGTAAAGGCGCCAAGCCAAACGACACTACCTTTTTCGTCATGTTTGTCTCTTAATTAAAGTAAATCTTATTAATAAATCCATATATTTTATGGGAATCATAGGAATTATATATTTGCAAAAATTAATAGAATTGAGAAAAAGTGGTCCAGTCAACGCGGTTCTGACGGCCCTGATCTATGTCATGTTAACTATTTTGATAGACATTTGTCTAAAGGAACAAAATTTCTTTAAGCATTTGAGAGACTACCGACACCTTTTTTGGTTGATGTAGTCAGGTAAACATGTGATGACTTCATCTAGGCTAGTAGGTTATGGAATGATTTAGGCCTCAGCATCCTGCCTACATCTGAATTTGGTCCTTCCAATCCAAATGGACTTACCAAACTTTATCAGCAGCAGTGGCGGATCTAGGAAGCAATGTGGGGTGAATAATGCGATTTGCGAAGCACCAAGCGTGCGGGCCTAGACGCTTTTGGAAGACATCTGAAAAGAAGTTAAGCTTAAAATATCTTTACGAGCGTAGCCTACTACACGTAACATGTATACATGAGAAGCACACAGACAAGAAGAGTGACCATTTTTTTTTCACGGTCACCGAAGGGGCTAGCCACCCTATTCACCCCCCCCCCAGATCCGCCACTGAGCAGTGTTTTACTAACATGGTAACAAAGAAATGACCAACGACAGTGACGACAACAAGAACACAGGTAAAAACATAGCCTCCTGGAGCTTTGCTCCATTGGGGAAGCTATTTAAAAATTATGCATTTAAATTAGTGATATGAAACATTAAAATGTATAAATACCATACAGTATTTCAGCATTTCTTTGATGAATATTCCAAATATTTGTTTTCAACATGTTATTTAGTTTTCCAGTGGTATAAAACACATACAACTAGATTAAAATTCTGACCTCATGGTAGCAATTAACATGGAATTGCCCAAAGCTTGTCAAGTGTCTAAACTACAAACATTTCTTTTAAACTTTTACAGTGTAGCATTCTATACTTACAATTTATCTGCCTATCAATCACTCTCTGTTGTTTTCGTATTGCAGCGGACCATTCCCTTACCTATTTATATATAAAACAATAAATAATACATTTTGAAATATCATCGGAATTAAAGCCATGCTCCGGGAGAAAAAAATTGCTGATATGTAGTACAAGTGACTTATGGTGTTTGCCAAAAAACTTGAGAATGGATGATACAGATTTCTTATAGAACTTGGGTAGTTACGCCCTCTTTCACCCAGTTTTAAAATATTAAAAAATTATAAAACTCAGTTGTTCAACATATTATTTTTTCCCTCCATCTATTATCTTACATTAGTATATTTTTATGTATTACAATAATTTTTCGTATCTTGTATGATGTTTTAATTTTTGGTTCCTAATTTGGTTTTAGTTTTCATTATCTTCTGTAATTAATATTATTTTTTGTTTAAGATTAGTTCAGTTTGATTATTATGTCTGTTACGTCATTGATGAAAAACACCATTGAGGTAATCAATTGTTTAGCGTGGTTAAATAATGTATATTATTATTATTATTATCTATTTAAAGTGAATGTCTACAAATAATATAAAAACATTTTGTTGGTATTGTATATTCTTTTTCAGTTTGCAGACATTAAATTTTGTCTAATTAGTTGATTACTTTAGCAATGGTTTCACAAATTGCGTTGGTCCCTTTCTAAACAAATCCTTGGCTGAAATGGGTCATTCACGCTTCGAGTAAACGCTACAACATGAGGGGGACTGTGACAAACCTTGTGTTGGCGCACTCACTCACAGAAGCGTGATTGTCCCAATCTAACCAATGGTTCATTAGAAAGCAGGAAGTGATCGGAGTAGTTGCTAAAACCATTGCTAAGGTAAGCAAATAATTGGTTCAACAAAACAGATAACTTTGCACAGTACAGTTGAATAACTCATTTAAAAGGATAAACCAGAACCCTGCGGGTGTGTACGTTCCTTTGTACGTAAACGTAGTTTAGAGGGATTTGTAGTCCAGTAATGGTTTCTAATGTTTTTACGTACACCTACACCCCCATACAGGTCCGTCCATCAAATTCTGTATATTTACATACCTGCCAACATTCGAATATCAAAAATGGCTGAGGCTATCGGCACTGCCGCAGTGCGAAAAAAAGCTGCTGTTTTCTATCGGCACTGCCGCAGTGCCAAAAAGCTGCTGTTTTCTATCGGCACTGCCGCAGTGCCAAAAAGCTGCTGTTTTCTATCGGCACTGCCACAGTGCGAAAAAAGCTGTTATTTACTATCGGGATTATTGCCGCAGTGTTAAAAAACCTCCGATTTTCTATCGGCACTGCCACAGTGCCAAAACACTGCAGTTTTCTATCGGCACTGCCGCAGTGCAAAACACTGAAGTTTTCTATCGGCACTGCCGCAGTGCCAAAACGCTGCAGTTTTCTATCGGCACTACCACTCGAAAAGCTGCTGTTTAATTATCAAATGGATGTTTTTATCTATAGATTATGGTATCAATAATTGGTTGGTCTAGCCTAGCCTATAATATTGTTAACATTATATTATATATGTTTTACAATTAAATTATAATTATTTCTAATCATTAAATATATACATAGCCTATATCTAGGCCCATACATAAAACAAAAAATAAAACAAAAATTTTAAAATAAAATAGTAATAATAATAACAATAAGAATATAATAATAACAGTGCTCGAAATGAATAAAAATTGTTTAATTAATGAGATGAATCAGCATATATTAAATCAACTTGCATCTATGCAAAACCTGTGCTCGAATAATGCTTTAATAAAGAATTAATAATACTTCAATAATACTTCAATAGGCCTATTTGCGATAGTGTGATTAATGAGATATTTGTCGATTAATTTATAGAAATATATAATAGGTATAGGCCTAAACCATTAATAATGATTCAGTATATTAAATCAACTTACGTCTATAGATGTAAAATCTGCTTTTTTTCCAATAAATTATTACCTATTTTATTCTGTTTAAAAAAATAATCTTATAAAATACCGTACATTATAAAGTTTCATTGTAAATTATATGAGAATTTAATCCACATAATTTATGTTTTCAATTATTTAAGCATTTATACAATTCAGTGGGCCTAATGCTGGATGTAATTGTAAAACAAAACAAAAACAAAAAACAAAAGCATCGCCAAAGTGTTTTCATGTATGCAAATGCAAATACTATCACACGATTACCGCGTATTTTTGGTAAGCAGAGCTCAGGATGGTTCACATGAATTGAAAAATATCCGTCGAAATGCTGTATAAATAAACTGCAATTATGTAAATAACTTTCACAAGAACTTTACGAATATCTTAATTAATATAATCTTAATTAATATTTAAATTAGTTTATTACTAAT